ATCAATACAACTGGATCATTGGTGTTTCAAATATCTTGTTTTTGCGAGACCCTCTGCCCCCAACACCATTTTCCAAAAGACATCCTCCATTTCACTCTTCCAGAGAATTGAAGTTGATCAGCAAGCCTAATATTGACTTACTTTTTTATATTGCTTAAGATACAGAGAATTTCTATCCCCCCCCCCTTCTCAAAAAATAAAATATATATGTAACAGAATTATCCCAATAACATTGCAGAAATAAGACCTATACAATTGGTACTCAATCTACCCCAAAAAATTATATTGACTTGTGTGATGCAATCTGTCATAACTTCAGCCCTGCCAACAAAACAGTGTTAAGGTCATGGATTATTTCTTACAGAACACACACTTAGCTTACATATAAAACATTGTAAAACTATAATAGCAAGGAAGATTGATGTGGATAAAAACCTGAAGATAATGTTGATAAGATGGAGGTACAGATTTAAAACAGATTCATTTGTGTACTGGATTTATGATATTGATCACTCTTCCAAAATCTTCACATTTTGCACTCAAGTATTCTAAGCTCATGCAGATAGATAGAAGTCAATTTTCAATATTTTTCCGAAATGTGCCGACTAGTTGCTCAATATGAAGTTCATCAGAATCTTAGCTCATTGTTTCATGGTTATACACATCTTTTCTTTTCTTTTCTTTTTTTTAACCTTTATTGCTTGCACAAAAAATCAGCAATTTTTACACAGATTTTAGAAAACTCAGAAAAAAAATTGGGCAGCAAAATTAATCTATTCAGATAATCTTGCCTTACAAATCAATGCTTGTTTAAATCTGCTTTAATTACATGTACCATCTTCTAAAATGATTAGTCTCCAAAAGTTTACTTATAATGCTACGAGAGAATAAAAATACAGCATAAAGATGATCAAAACCTACCTTTATAGAATTACACTGAAATCAACAGCAAAGAGAAATCCTCTAAAATAAAGATCCCCTCAACTTATGCCTTCCTCTATTATAAATAACCCCCTCTGTAATAAATAGCTCCATCATATGACTTAATGCTGCAAGAAACATCACCCCCTTTATTTTTCACCCCCATAGTAATAACCTGACCTAAACATTGTCATTTATCACAGTCTTTTCTTACAGCTTAGTGCCAACAGTTAAAGATAGCAATGACACTCTCTGGTGAAGTTAGCTGTATAATTAATAAAGAAAAATCTCACAGAGGTCACTGGTCATTTACATTGTAATGTAATCTACACTCATGATATAGCTGCCACGCCCCCATTCATGCAATGTATACTTTTGAACACTGACTTAAGGTAAGAAAGTAATTAATAACAATGAGACAAGGGAAAGTGGTAATTGTACATTAGAGGTGCAATTTTCAATTGTATATTAGAGAGGTAAAATTAATTTGCACATAAGAGGGGCAAAATTAATTCATATCAAATTCAAATTTACACTACCTGAGGATGCTTATTCCCCGCAGATATTGATAATCATGGCTTTGCTGTTCTTGAGAAGATATTTAAAGAATGATGTTTTTTTTCTCTATATTCCTTTGCAAAAGTTTGATCTACATCTATCATAGATAAACATTCAAAGTTAGTACAGTAAAACTCATTTAGTATGAACAAGGATATTGTGAATTCATGGATATAGCGAAGTTTTCATGGATCCCCAGCTATATAAATTTAACGAATTCCTTATACGGATAAAACAAATTACGGATATAGCGAAGCAATTTCACAGGTCCCAGTGACTTTGTAATAACCAAGTTTTACTGTTAAATATATTTAAAACATTTTATTTCAAAAACATTAATTTTGCTCGGTGATAATAGTACATAATCCATAATTTAAAACAACTATAAATAGTATACCGTATAATCCCTATTAACCGCCCCTGCCCCTATAAGTGCCCCCCTAGGTCTTTTTCAATTGTCGGGAAATAAGGGCCCCCTGTACAGTAATTAAAATCATCCAGAATCATATCGAAAGTCCGCCATAATTTGAAGAAAGTGAAAATGAAACTTGGTTATTGGGTAACTTGTACGTAAAGTATTCCTAAAAGTGAAAGATTTTTAGAACGACCTAATCATTATGTATTTCTGACAGTGAAAGTTACCTACGAAATTTGTTCTCCTTGTGTATTCTCTAATTTCTCGGTGGAAAAATGAATCATATAGCATAATTTCGATAGATTATCTTAACTTAAAGGAAAGTTAGACAACCTTTTAGTGGTTCTCAGAATTTCTTTTTTTTCAACAGATTTTTTGAAGTTGAAATATGACATAAAAAATTATAACTAGAATACCAAAATAACCGCCCCCTTTTCGCAATTTTCTAAGCGCCCGGGGCGGTTAATAGGGATTATATGGTAAGCAAATTTTACCCCCATAAAAGTCCAATTTTGAAAATCTCTAGAAATTAATATACACAATTGTATCTTGAATTGTATCTTGAATTTACATCATCTTTTTGATATCATATGTAACATATGGTGTCACGGCTGATGAGAATAGGTAATGCTCTCAAGTCTGGAGATATCACCCTGGTTAGAACATAATTATATTTTTCACCATCAAAGTTTGATTTTGGGGGCAGATGTTAGTAATTACAGAATCTAGTCCTTTACTACTTTGGATATTATTGACTAAATATTGGAAAATGTAAACTATATGAATAATTTTGGGGTCTATGACAACTCATCGAAAGACAACTCATCAATACGACAACTCATAGATAAGACAAGTCATAGAATAGACATCTCATAGATCTGACAACTCATCGAAACTGATAGAAAAAAATGAAACAATTTATAACTGAATTGATAAATTATTTGTTAACTTATTTAATGCAATATTCAATGTTCCAGTAAGAAATACTTTGTGCCAAACCCTCACTGTAGTTTAAGATAGCTTCCGTTTTCTACCCTTGAAGAAAGTGAAGATACTGAAGTTTATTTTTTCTTGTAATTCCCTTTTTGCAGAGAAGATCGATCTCGATTAATATTTTTTTTAATATCCCAACATTCATATGAACTGGGAGATGTTTGTTTTCCTTCGTGTCTTTGACGAAATGTTCATATTTAATGTAACGGCTCTTGCAATCTTTCAATGAGACTTAGCACCTTTTATTCTGTCCCAAAAATATAATATCTTAATATGTATGCTAGTTTATCTTTACTCATTTGGAAAGAAATAAAGAAAAAAATCAATCCAACCCTCGATCAGTCAAGTTTTGGGTGAGAGTGATAAAATACAACCAAAGAATGAAAAGTGTTCAAATCTTTTTTTTATTCTTATTCTATTATTATTTAATTCAAGTGATGTCCATGAGTTGTCATCCACAAGTTGTCTTTCTATGAGTTTTACAGTCATTTAGTTGATTTTCAGCGAATTTTACTCTCTGGTGAGTTGTTGTTCAATGAGTTGTCCGGAACCCATAATTTTAACATTTAAAGCTAAAGTTATATACAGTAAAGCACGCTTATAGCGAACACGCTTATAATGAACTGACACTTACAGCGAAGTGATCTTTATTCCCCAAGATGAAATATATATTTTAAACCTAACGGATATACAAATTACGCTTATAACGAGCTAAATTGTCTGTCCCTGGCACTTTGTTATATAATAAGCGTGTTTTACTGTATCTAAATGTATAATGAAGGAAAACATTATATTTATATTTATATGGTAGAAATTTGTATTAGTAAGTGGCAAAGAAATTTTTCAGTCTCTTTAAATGCATAAATAAAAAATAGAAATGTACTTTTGGATATCTATAAATTATGCTTAGTAAACTTTAAAAACCCCTTATTTGTACAATCAACTTATGTAAATTCAATTTTCTCTGACTTTTCCATAATAGTATATGTATGAGCACCTGCACAAAGTCAGTTGAGAACTCTGTATTCATTCATTAATAATTGTCAGTTTGTATTATTTCAGATCAACTGAATTAAAATTTTGACAACTTATTTATTTTTTACTTTAAAAACTTAATGATAGTCTTAATAACAAATTGAACACTTTAATTAATACAAAGTGATATAATTCTAATAATTCTTATCAATATAAGCCCTCCAATCCCATAAAATTGTCTGAAGAAACTCATTCCTATGAATATGATGCCATCAAATGGATTAAATCTGCATACATTACCTTCTTCAATGACTAAAATTTCAACTTCCAAACATTAATTAACAAGAATTGGGAGTATTTTGTGCAATGACCTAGCTGGCTTGCTCAGTAATAAACTTTCTAGATGGAGAGAGAATTTGTGTCATTGGCTGCAAGCCTTGTCAGAGAGATGTCTCGTGCTATGACTATCTATGCATGACAGATAAACCATATGGATAAAAAGTTCATTATTTTTTATTCTTCTTTTTTTTTTTGAATGTGACTCTGAGAAAGAGTTAGCCAATAAGAAGTATGCATGATATTTACTTACATATTTTTTTTAATTTTTGACATGATAACAACAGCTTGAAAACTTCATGCTAGAAAACTTAAGCGGCCAGTGACCCAAGAAGGAAAAATAATAATCAAACCAAATGTCCAATTAGCCATGTCTGTCAGTTAAAGAAAATCTAACATACGTTTTTTGTTTTTTTTTCAAGATAGAAGATAAAGTTTTATACAAGCCAGTAACCTTTACTACTCCTTTCCTGCTGAAATGAAGTATACCAATTCACAAGATAGGGAAGAAAGCCAATCTGTGCTTCTATCTGCTAAAAAAATCTTTCATTCTGATTCACAAATCATTGGAAGCACTATACATGTGATTTTTTGCGAAATACAATATTCAAGATCTGCTAATTTTTTTTTATTCTGATGTTCATCCAAATTATTACCAAGTTTTAGGAATATACTGATTTCAATGAGGAATCGTATTTATAGATCTGAACATGCTGCCATCATTATTGTAGCCTGATTTTTTCCCAGTGCCAATAACTGAGAAAATGTTCTAAGAAGGTAATCTGTTAGCCATATGTGCACTTTAGTCTGAAACAGAATCAAATTTAGAACTACATGCAAATTGAATTTCCTTCAGAGTAATCAAACACATGTCTGAAGGTATATTAATTTTCAAACTTGAGCAGTAAACTATAAAAATGATATCTGCAGCCTGCACTCTATTCTGAAATAAAACAAAATATACATATGTATAATGACTGTATCCATAACTAACCTTCTAATCTGAGGCATTGTAGAATAGCTCTTCTATCAGGCAAGTAAAATCCGAGGCTAATATGTTCCTCTGCATCAAATTCCTCCGAATTATCCGAATCATCCGCTGATTTCTCAACCTTCGACTTCTCTGAAACAGAAAGTAAACAATGTATACATTTCACACCTGGCTAGCTTCTGCCTTAATCTCACCTACAAAACATAAACCACTCACTATGGATGTACAGAACTTGTCAATCATACCATCTTATCACATCCATCAAAAGCATGTCATGCAATGCCTTCTAACACACAAGATAACCTTATAGCGTAACTCACATAGAGAGAGAGATCTCTACAGATCTTCCTCCCATGTTCTCAATACATCCCACTCAAACATACCTGTTTAAGTTAATTGGTATTCATTTAATGATACAGGACTGGGAAAGGTTGAATGATTTAAATATGTGTGTCATTATTTCAGTGTACCAGTAGATTACAAAAATTAACAAACAAAAATTTTTTTCAGGGGGGAAGAAAATATATAATAAATGTTGTAGTTTTGGTGACATTGAGTCCTTATTACTTTTCCTCTTTTCTAAAAGATTTCATTTTTGTAAGACCAATATTAGGACAGAAAAAAAATTTCCCATCAAGACACATACTTGAGATTATGCTAATAGACAACATAATGTATAAAGATCTGAGAATTACTGTAAAATCACTTAATAATCTTGTGGTGTCAAATTTTTGTGGTTTGAGGACAAAATATTGGTTTGTGGGGATTACATTCAGTGCTAACTCGTTATGCACTTAAAATGTTACATTTCGTGGGGACATAAATTTGTGGTTCTCTTCATACCAGAAAAATAATGAAAATGAAACCCCCACAAAAATAAGAAATTTCACAGTAGACTGCAGCTCTGCATTGTTTATTATTGTAATGGTGACTTATAAAGTACTCGGGAACACTGGTATCCACATGGTATAAGAAAAACATACTTTTATCTATTGACTGAGAAAGACTACATAAGTCAGAAGTCTCAATATCAACCTATACTAACAACAGAACAACACAATTAGGAAAAGAAAAGCTAAGGAAATGATCCGGACCATTGAAGGAATACCCCCTCCCCCCCCCCCCCCCCCCCCCAAAAAAAAAAAAAAATCAAAAATCACCAAACCAAAAAACTACAAGTTATGTCACACATATAAAACTTGCTAGTATTCATCAAATAATAAAGATTTAAGCTCCAAGCATTAAACATTACTTTCAATTTGAACAAAACAGACCAATTGTGACAGCTTCAAGAATTACTGCCATTGCAATGACATCAACTCAGACAATTAATTTCTCTTAGAGGCACAACTTAGAATTTTCACTGGATCTGGACCCAGGGCCAGGAATTTCTGATAAATTCAGGGATAGTAGCAATCCTTTGGAATTATTGACAAATTGGGATTCATGTGGTGCAGATTTAGAACAGCCACAATTTGATTATTCATGAATTGCCCTCATCCACCTCTGCTACGAGTTCTGATGGCATTAAAATTTAATGCCACTATTTTTTTTAGCTGATAGGGGTAACCATATTTTCTGGATGTTTCAGCAAGTTGAACTTAATTTAGATATTTTGGCAGTAACAATCTCATGAGTTGGCAGGTTAAAAACAAGATGTGTTTGTGAAACAATGATGCCCCCGTATGGCAACTTATAGCGAAGGTTAAAAATTTCTCCAATGCAAATCAAATATGTTGATACTCAAAGTAAGGTCTTGTCTCAAAGAATATACCTGTGAAATATGAAAGCCCTAGCAGCAACCATTGAAAAGATATAGAAAAGGTTAAAGTTTTTCAAAAGTGAGTCAAACATCAAGGCCATGGTCAAATGTCAAAATTAATGGTGTCCAAGGTAAGGCCTTCTCACAAGAAATACACATGTGAAATATGAAAGCCCTAGCACCAACTGTTCAAAAGTAATGACCAAGGTTAAAGTTTTTTAAAAGTAGGTCAAACTCCAAGGTCAAGGTCAAAGTTGTTGGTATCCAAAGTAAAGTGTTGTCACAAGGATTACATATGTAAAGTGTGAAAGCCCTAGCACTAACTGATCAAAAGTTATGACCAAGGTTAAAGTTTTTTAAAAGTAGGTCAAACTCCAAGGTCAAGGTCAAAAGGTCAAAGTTGTTGGTATCCAAAGTAAGGTCTTGTCACAAGGATTACATATGTGAAGTGTGAAAGCCCTAGCACTAACTGATCAAAAGTTATGACCAAGGTTAAAGTTTTCCAAAAGTAGGTCAAACTCCAAGGTCAAGGTCAAAAGGTCAAAGTTGTTCACAGTTGGTATCCAAAGTAAGGTCTTGTCACAAGGATTATATATGTGAAGTATGAAAGCTTTAACACTAACTGATAAAAAGTTATGGCCAAGGTTAAAGTTTTCAAAAGAAGGTCAAACTCAATGGTCAAGGTCAAAGTTCTTGGTATCCAAAGTAAGGTCTTGTCACAAGGATTACATATGTGAAGTATGAGAGCCCTAGTACCAACTGTTTAAAAGTTATGGCCAAGGTTAATGTTGGGTGAAATTTTGCAAAACTGGGTCAAACTCCATGGTCAAGGTCAAATACGATGGTACCCAAAGAAAGGTCTTGTCACAACAAATACACATGTGAAATATGAAAGCCATAGCTCCAACCAATCAAAAGTTATGGGCAAAGTTAATGTTTTTGCGGACAAATAGACAGACAGACAGGCCAAAAACTATATGCCCCCAAATCTTCGATTACGGGGGCATGAAAATATATAATAACATTTTTAAATTGAAATTTTACAAGATTTGAAAGCAATCAATAGTCTCCCTTACTCAATTCTGCCCCCTTTTCCTACTGATCTTATATAACTTGTGTATATATACTTAAATAGTCCACAGCAATAAAGGATCATTGTTGTATAGCAATTATTACAGAAAATAATGCACTTTGCTTCAAAACATCACATATAAAAGGATAAAAAAAACTGAAACAGAGGTTCCTTTTTAGTGATATTGATTAAGAATATCAAAAACCATCTGATAATGATCCATAAAAATTTATTGAATCTTGGTAACAACACAAGATGTACTTTTCCTTTAAGTAGGTTATTTTAAGTGGGAGTTTACATAGACTAGGGACTATAAGTAAAAAGCAAATCTAATATCACAATCTCAAAATATTAATGCTTTTCTTAGTACAATATCAACCCATCAGATTTTTTTTTGACTCAATAACAAAAATTGAACACACGAAAATAGAAGCTACAATAATGCTGGCTTTACCATTCAAACTGGTTTATGAGGATGGAATTCTTCATGCTGGGTATTTGAGTGGAGAATGGAGAATCTTTCATTAGTAATTTCTCCTTAGAGCCTCTTTTCTACAACAATTTTAGGCAAGAAATTGTTGCTCTGTTGTGCTTAATTGTCTGTATCTGTTCCTTAATCATCCCTTATTTCATTAAACCTCTGACAGCGAGCCCTTGGAGAGCTTCTCAAGAATATACCAGGGTTTTTTTTGTTGTTTTTTGGTAGCAGCTGAAACCAGTTTTCCTATTGATATAGGCAGATGCTAGACTAAAGGAACAACAGAGACCTACAGAGTCCCAATTTACTTCTTCTTTTAGAAAACATTACCAATGGCCATTTCAGACTGTGATTTTAGGGTAAGAAAATGCAATAGCTTGTTTATCAAAGGAAAAGAGAGGAAAAATAAACTTTCATTGAAGAGTTTAAAGCAAAGGAAACATTCTTATGAGAATCAAGTCAGAGGTATTTCAACTGTGTACTTGAAAAACAACAACAATTTTTGAAAGGTAAAGTGAATAGATTTTGCACAGAAAAATACATGGCATTTTGATCAAGAAACACAAAGTGGTCATTGTCCCACAGAGTTGCATATGTCTTGAATGTTTCCTTTCTACTCATTTACAATCCTATAAAAACCCAGTACATGAAGTAGTGAATTAAACTTTTTTCATCAAAAGATTTTATTTTACACCCAGTCCCAGTTATATGCAGCAAATTAATTTTAAAAATCTCTGGCATTATAGATGTCAAATATTGATAATAACTAGAGACCTATGGGCCACAATGCTCACCTGGGTTTTTTTTGTTTTTTGGGCCCTCTTGTTCTTCATCAGCTGATTTTTTCCCTATATAAAATTTTGATTTCCTGTTGTCAGACCCAAACCTACCCCCATGACTTGAAAAAAAGAGAATCTATACTTCCTGAGTATGCTTCCACATCAACATGACTAAGCATGGCGTTCTTCGAAGATTTTTAAAAAATTTTCATATATATTCACATGTAAAACTTTAACCCCCTGTTGTTGCCCACACTACCCCCAATGTCCATGATTTTTAAAATAAACATGAATCTTTACTATGTCAGAATTCTTGCATATAAATTTCATAATTTAGGGCTAAGTGGTTCTTAAAAACAAGATTTTTTATGACATCCACTTAAGTTTTTCCCTTTTCTTAATTATCACCCCTTTGAAAGGACATGGCCCTTTATTTAAAAAAAAATGAATCCTCTTCACCCAAGAATGCTTTGTGGTAAGTTTGATTGAAATTGGTCCAGTGGTTCTTCAGAAGAAGTTGAAAATATGAAAAGTTAACAGATGGACAGACAGAAAGAAGACAGATGACTGATGACAGGTGATAAGAAAAGCTCACTTGAATTTTTGGTTCAGGTGAGCTATAAATGTTAAAGTGAGGGGAAAAAATATAAGTGGATTCCAACAAACTTTCTCTCATCATTGTGCAAGCATTGGTACTCTATTGAGTTGATCCTTATGCTACTCACTCTGGACTAAATACTAATATTCAGGTTGTGGACTAGTATTTGGTCATTATCACCCAAAATATATATTCCATTAATCAATTCTTTGGTGATCTGGAACACAGATTCCACACGAACAATTCGGATTGTTAAATTTTGTACTACAACATTTTTAATAGATGCATTTCTTATAAGTCATGCAAGTGCATACTTTGAAAGATAATTTCTTGATCTCTGTGTTTAATTAAGGAAAGATTTTTCCATAGAAAAATTCCACGATCGTCACCAAATTAAAGGCACCTCTCACTGACATTGCCTTTTTCTCAAAGCCAAGTCCTACAGAGTCCGAGGGAATATATTCCAAATGATATCATGAAATTCCATAGGAGTTAAATCAGATTCTGATGCCCATATAATACACAAGTTTATCAACAATATAGTGTCACTGTGAGTAGAAATGAGTCCTGAAATCAGCTTGGTAGGTTAAGAAATTATACTGTAAAACATTTACATAGTGACCAAACTTATTATATATACATGCCTATAACAGAGAGCCATAGTTACAAAGAAGTTCATGCTAATAAAATATCAACTTGATCTAATGATTTATGGATATAACTAAGGGATTCTGACTGTTTCTAGTAGTTCACTTTAACTGCTTTATTGTATGGTGTCAAAAAATAAACAAACTTCAAATAAAAATATTTTTTATGTCAATACCTAAGCACCTACTGAAATAATGTATTAAATTATTATTGAAAATGTGAAACATGCTTATAATTTTAATAAAGTATAAAAATTCTTATACATGTGTACTACAAACACCTTAAGCAATGAATATATAGACATCGAAAACTTACTTTTACAATGAAACCATACTCTGCCCAGTTAAAAAGTAATGGACTTACACAAAATTACATGAAACTTCTATAATTTTTTTTATCAAAATCGTTCAACCAAACATTAGAAAAAATTCAGTCTATCTAGTATTTAATCACAAGAAAAACCTAAAGGGGCAAAGAGTTTAAAATCATTAGCCTGAATTTTCAATGTGTACATGAAAAGAGATCTTACTGCAATATTTATAACATATTTCTAATCACACCATATTACACTGAGTGCAAGATAAAAAGGAAATGTTTTATCAAGCAACACCCTTCTTTTTGGTTCAGAATGGCTGTTATGTTTGTCTTTTGTAGATTACTCATGAGCAGATTTTTTTCTCACTCAGTATGTGTGTGGGCTTGTAACAAGATGAGTTTATTACAACATCTTTAAGACCCCCATACCCTTTGTCATTTATCATAAGAAATGTTTTCCACCAGAATTTTCTTAATGGTTTTCAGCCCCTTTTATTATTTCATTTGGGGGGGGGGGGGCTCTCAAATAATACCTCAAAACTTTACAAATGTAACACTGATTGAAAAAAAAACCCAGTACAGTACATAGTGTCTTCAAAATCACACTATATCTTATATCCTATATTTTGTTATTGAATGTGTATGTGTTGTTGGTGACATGCTTTACTTTGTGTATTTACAATGCTTATGTTGGTGACATTCTTTACTTTGTTTATTTACAGTGTTTATGGTGTTGTTGGTGACATGCTTTACTTTGTGTATTTCAAATGCTTATGTTGGTGACATGCTTTACTTTGTGTATTTCAAATGCTTATGTTGGTGACATGCTTTACTTTGTGTATTTACAGTGTATATGTTGTTGTTGGTGACATGCTTTACTTTGTGTATTTACAGTGCTTATGGTGTTGTTGGTGACATGCTTTACTTTGTGTATTTACAGTGCTTATGGTGTTGTTGGTGACATGCTTTACTTTGTGTATTTACAGAATTTATGGTGTTGTTGGTGACATGCTTTACTTTGTGTATTTACAGTGTTTATGGTGTTGTTGGTGACATGCTTTACTTTGTGTATTTACAGTGTTTATGTTGTTGGTGACATGCTTTACTTTGTGTATTTACAGTGTTAATGTTGTTGGTGACATGCTTTACTTTGTGTATTTACAGTGTTTATGTTGTTGGGGACATGCTTTACTTTGTGTATTTCCAATGCTTATGTTGGTGACATTCTTTACTTTGTTTATTTACAGTGTTTATGGTGTTGTTGGTGACATGCTTTACTTTGTTTATTTACAGTGTTTATGTTGTTGGTGACATGTTTTACTTTGTGTATTTACAGTGTTTATGTTGTTGGTGACATGCTTTACTTTGTGTATTTACAGTGTATATGTTGTTGGTGGTGACATGTTTTACTTTGTGTATTTACAGTGTATATGTTGTTGGTGGTGACATGCTTTACTTTGTGTATTCACAGTGTTTATGGTGTTGTTGGTGACATGTTTTACTTTGTGTATTTACAGTGTTTATGGTGTTGTTGTTGACATGCTTTACTTTGTTTATTTACAGTGTTTATGGTGTTGTTGGTGACATGCTTTACTTTGTGTATTTACAGTGTTTATGTTGTTGGTGACATGCTTTACTTTGTGTATTCACAGTGTTATAGTGTTGTTGGTGACATGCTTTTCTTTGTGTATTCACAGTGTTATAGTGTTGTTGATGACATGCTTTACTTTGTGTATTTACAGTGTTATAGTGTTGTTGGTGACATGCTTTATTTTTTTGTATTTACAGTGTTTATGGTGTTGTTGGTGACATGTTTTACTTTGTGTATTTCCAATGCTTATGTTGGTGACATGCTTTACTTTGTGTATTTACAGTGTTTATTTTGTTGTTGTTGACATGCTTTACTTTGTGTATTTACAGTGTTTATGTTGTTGGTGATATGCTTTACTTTGTGTATTTACAGTGCTTATGGTGTTGTTGGTGACATGTTTTACTTTGTGTATTTACAGTGTTTATGGTGTTGTTGGTGACATGTTTTACTTTGCGTATTTACAGTGTTTATGTTGTTGGTGACATGTTTTACTTTGTGTATTTACAGTGTATATGTTGTTGGTGACATGCTTTACTTTGTGTATTTACAGTGTATATGTTGTTGGTGGTGACATGTTTTACTTTGTGTATTTACAGTGTATATGTTGCTGGTGGTGACATGCTTTACTTTGTGTATTCACAGTGTTTATGGTGTTGTTGGTGACATGTTTTACTTTGCGTATTTACAGTGTTTATGTTGTTGGTGACATGTTTTACTTTGTGTATTTACAGTGTATATGTTGTTGGTGACATGCTTTACTTTGTGTATTTACAGTGTATATGTTGTTGGTGGTGACATGCTTTACTTTGTGTATTCACAGTGTATATGTTGTTGGTGGTGACATGTTTTACTTTGTGTATTTACAGTGTTTATGGTATTGTTGGTGACATGTTTTACTTTGTGTATTTACAGTGTTTATGGTGTTGTTGGTGACATGTTTTACTTTGTGTATTTACAGTGTTTATGGTGTTGTTGTTGACATGCTTTACTTTGTGTATTCACAGTGTTATAGTGTTGTTGGTGACATGCTTTACTTTGTGTATTCACAGTGTTATAGTGTTGCTGGTGACATGCTTTTCTTTGTGTATTCACAGTGTTATAGTGTTGTTGATGACATGCTTTACTTTGTGTATTTACAGTGTTATAGTGTTGTTGGTGACATGCTTTATTTTTTGTATTTACAGTGTATATGTTGTTGTTGGTGACATGCTTTACTTTGTGTATTTACAGTGTTTATGTTGTTGGTGACATGCTTTACTTTGTGTTTTCACAGTGTTATAGTGTTGTTGGTGACATGCTTTACTTTTTTGTATTTACAGTGTTTATTTTGTTGTTGTTGACATGCTTTACTTTGTGTATTTACAGTGTTTATGTTGTTGTTGGTGACATGCTTTACTTTGTGTATTTCCAATGCTTATGTTGGTGACATGCTATACTTTGTGTATTTACAGTGTTTATTTTGTTGTTGTTGACATGCTTTATTTTGTGTATTTACAGTGTTTATGTTGTTGGTGACATGCTTTACTTTGTGTATTTACAGTGCTTATGTTGTTGGTGACATGTTTTACTTTGTGTATTCACAGTGTTATAGTGTTGTTGGTGACATGTTTTACTCTGTGTATTTACACTGTTTATGGTGTTGTTGGTGACAAGCTTAACTTTGTGTATTTACAGTATCCCTTTTAATTAATCTTTTGCTTATTTTTCTAAGAATGGAATTATTTTTTTTCTGCCAAAGAATATTGTGCTAATGAGCAATATTTTTTGTACCGATTCTATGGAATTGATTAAGCAGAATAATAAGCAACTAATTTAATCAAAGCTATTAAATAGGGCAAGAGGAGAAAATTAACTCGTGAGATTGATTTTTTTTTTCACAACTTACCATAAATACTTTGTGTCAGTACAATAATGTCCTGTAATACCAACTCCTTCCCACGGTTCTCGTGACGACCACACAACGGAAATAGAGATTTTGGTTTCGATAACCTCTTCTTTTTTACATCTTTTGTAAGAAAGTCTGAAAATAAATTTTCATATAATATTTATTACTTGGAATTTTAAGCTTTATGGCAAAATGAAGTTGTGTATTGAGTAGGTCTCCCTAAAGAGCTTTTGAATGATGTCATTACATTACTCTAAAAAAAAAATCCAATAAGGTTGTTATATCTTTTACGCATAGTTATAAATTTTCAGTTTGAGGGAGACAAGTACTCTAAATACTACATAATATACCTCATCAATTCAAGCTTTCACTCAAGCTCTTAGAGTACTGTTGTTGAAGCAATACATGACCCTATCAACAAATGTTGACAATGTACAAAATTCTTAATGTATGAATCAGAGAAATCCGCCATTTCACAATATTGCTAACATTATAGAGAACAGTCACTGTGAGTTGAAGGAGAACATATTGCCCCTTCCCCCCAAAAAATAATCTACTTCAAAAAAGGCCTAGTTTAGTAACTGTAAAGAAAATCTTTAGATTCTCATAAAACTCGGTCCTAATTTAATAATTCACTATCCTTCCTGTGCTACAATGTTTCAAAATTCAATGACTTACACACATTAAAATTCAAACCCCCAAAGAATTCCTGAAAAAAGAATTTTATTGCTTTTTAGTAAAAAGAAAAAAGGGACAATGATTCATTCAGAGAGGGATAGAATTCCAATCTTATTCTAGTTTCTCAAAGCTTCTGAAGAACAGAATTTTTATTGATTTTTATTTTATCAATGAAGGCCATTTCTTTAATAACAAAAATTTAAATCTATTCTTTACTGGAATACTCTCATATTAATTTGACCAATCATACCCTGTCTAGAAAAAGTCTCTTGATTCTTTTTTTTAGCATGTTCCTTTGTAAAAGTTTGACCCCACTTTTGCCACATTCTAGCCCTGAAAACGGTGACTTGAAAAAAATTGAATCTTCTTTAACCAAACACTGAGATGCTTGACATTAAATACAGTAATGTTGGTCCTGCTATAATTCTTGAAAAGAAGTTTAAAAATATCTATCACAAATATTCCTGAAGGGTAAACTTTGACCTTTGTTGTCTAATCCAACTCCCAGGAGTCATAATTTGAACATGCATTCTTGAATTTATACTATAAGGGTTACTTGGATATGATTTTGAATAAATAGAGGATATTCAATGTTTTGTAGATGAATATGGAATTTATTTCACGAGTGGGACAGGATTTTTTGATATTTTCACGAGTGCGAAGCACGAGTGAAAATATCAGAAAATCCTGTCTCACGAGTGAAATAAATTCCATATTCATCTACAAAACATTGAATTTTCTGTTTATTACATTTTCTTTGATTTTCCCTTTGCCTGTGTCTTTTCTTAACAGTGTCATAGGCCTGACGTCATAGTTGAGCGGTTGAGACGTCATAGCTTAGCAGTTGTGCGATTGAAAACATTACATAGCATGGATTTTAGCAAGATATTTGGGAAGAAATTTGCAGTTTTAGCTCTATCAAGATGCTTAGTTACTATCTCTGTCTTATGACAGGCCAGAAATTATTTTTTACTTACTTTGATATCTTTCACACTGTGAGAGAATATCATTTTAGTATCCTTTCACACTGTGAGAGAATATCACTTTTATTCAATTAATAAATCACAGTATTTCACTGTTGAAAATGTAATAAAGTGGCCCTTTCGTTCTTGAAAAGACGATATACATTTATATACAAATGCAAATATTTTATTGGGGCACACAATTACAATAATTGGCAAAGGCCCAGCATATAAGAATCATCAATATACAATATTTTAAAACTTTCATATGTGAAGATATGCATTAATCATACAATCATTTGCACAATAATTATGTAACACAATCATTTCTAGATAATTTAAATTTGTTAATGAGTGCATTATTTTCAGCATTTCTGGACATTGGCTATTAAGTCAAAGCTGAACCTTTTAAGTGTTAGACATATTTGTATATAAATTTTTTTTACATATTCTGTAATCCCCATTTTACCCCTGGGGTCATATTTTGAAAAAAAACAAAACAAAAACAAAAACAAAAAACATAGCTAAAAAAGATTATCTAGCTCACTTCTTATTAATAGGTTATCTATAAATAATACAAATCTCATACCAATTTTTTTTCTAGTTAGTTGCATCTCAAGATCAAAATTCATGCAAGCCTGGTTAAAGAAAGACTTAAAGTTACTTTCAAATGGATTTACTCCAAAAAGTTTGACCTGTTCACTCATCCAGAAAATGTGGATCATTTCCAGCATCTGAGGCAATTAAGTCTGGTAGTGTCCATCCATAGTTGCATCATCCATGCAAGTCTAATAACAACATAACCATATAGTTATATAGAGCTACTCCAAAAACATCACCCTGGTCTCGCATCTGGAAAATGTATATCAGATCCAGCATCCGAAGCAGATCTGGTAGTGTCCATAACTAGTTACACCACCCATGCTAGTTTGGTTCTGGTAGGGATAATATTCACTCAACTTGAAAATGTAGGCCAGATCCAGCATCCAAAGCAAGTCCGGTAGTGTCCATCAATCCCTAGATGCATCATTCTTTCAAGCTTGGTCTAGGTAGGTCTTTTAGTTCCTTGAAAAAGGTCCTGCTCCAAAAACTTTAACCTGTTCACCCATCCAGAAAATGTAGGTCATATCTAGCATCCGAAGCAAGACTGGTAGTTTACATTCCTAGATGCATTATCCTTGCAAAATTGGCCTAAGTAGGGCTTAAAGTTATTTGGGAATGGACCTGCTACAAAAACTTTAATCTGTTCACCCATCTAGAAAATGTAGGTCAGATCTAGTATCTGAAGCAAGTCTGGTCGTGTATGTTCCTAGATACATTATGCATGCAAGTTTGGTCCAGGTAAGGCTTTTAATTCCTTGAGAATGGACCTGCTCCAAAAACTTAAAACTTGGTCACTCATCTGGAAAATGTAGGTGAGATCCAGCATCTAAAACTATTCTGATAATGCCCTTCCCTAGATGCATCATATATGCAAGTTTGGTCCTGAAAGGGCTTCTAGCTTCTTTGGAATGAATCTCCTCAAAATTGTCATCTTTTCACTCATCTGGAAAATGTAGGTCAAAAAATCTGTAAACGCGTAAATTAACCTGTTTAACAGTGATGATAGTGAGGGGGGCAAGATGAAGAAACTCGCCTGCACAAAAAAATTGTATAATTTGTCATCTTATCACACACATTAACCAACTTTATTCACAAATTCAAAATTACAGAACTTTGTTACCGTAATTTATTTTATTTAATAATTATCTTAAATCAAATCATAATGTAAATAAGCAACTGAATCATTTTTGAAATCAGAAGGGGACCAGAACCAGGGTAATTGATAATAAAATCATGCAGTTTGAAAAGGTGACGGGATCTTTACTAATTACCCTTTCTTCTCTAATCATATACTGTTATTAAAATTTACAAGCTCTGCTATAAATCAGCATGTTTCTTCATGATTAAAAAAATATCTATTTTATTTCTTATCAACATCATTAGACCACACATGTGTACACACCCACACTGTAGTCCGTTTATAATATGTGTATTTATAAATTCATTTTTAATAAATGTTTATACTTAAATTAGAACAAGTTCACACTTTTATAGTAATTGAAAAGCATGTAAGATTTTTTTCAGAATCTTCATTATTTTTGCTTTTGTCATTGATAACTTCGTTAAAAGTATGCAGTTTCTCATCTCTCTATCACTGAATATTGTCGCATATGATGTCACAGCAGTATGGTGCCGAGATCCGATTGAAATATGCATATCCCTGTACATGTATTTGAATTTAAACTCTAAATTTCTCTTAAAATATGCTTACAACAACCTTAATTAGTCCCCTACCGGTGAAACCGGAGGGGACTACAGGTTTCCTCTGAGTCTGTCCGTCCGTCTGTCTGTCGGTCTGTCCCTCTGTCTGTCTGTCCCATTTGGTTTTCTGCACTTTTTTTCTAAACGCTTGCAGATATTGAGCTGATTTTTTGTATGTGAGTGTATCTTGATGAGTTACAGATCAAGTTTGCATTTCGTTCCACTTCAATGATTTTTGGCGGAATTACGACCTTTTCAATTTTTCACGGTTTTCCGCAATTTTTTTCTAAACGTTTGCAGATTTTGGCCTGATTTTTGGTATGTGACTTTACCTTGATGAGTTATAGATGAAGGTTGCATTTCATTCCGCTTCATTGATTTTTGACAGAATTATGGCATTTTCAATTTTTAGCGGGAACCAGATTACACTTGCCGGTAGGGGACTAGTATTGCTAATGCAATACTCTCAGAATGCTTGTTTTATTCAGTGTTTTAATAAACAAGGTTGTAGATAACATTTTTCATACAATTACAGATTTTTTAAAAAAACATTTAAAAACTTTAAAGATTTTCTTCTTGTATATCCCCACGTAAAACTTCAACCCTTCCTGTGAAACACCCTTGTCCTAATGGCTAGGATCTGAAGAAATCTGCATTAGGTTACATCTTTAAATCACGCAAAAGTGACCCTTTCCTCTAAAAGATCAAAGACTGAATTTTTCATTTGATTGCCTTAATTCATCATGTAAAAACAATGACCTTCATTTTTCAATATAAAATATTCAATATAAATAGGTGACCCATGGGCCTCTTGTTATTCAAAATTTATAAGGTGCAATGCATTTAACAAAATATTTCAAAAGTGAGCATAAAGATATCACTTATATCAACATTATCAGCAGACTTTTTGAAAATGCACTAGTTTACATTTATTATGTTATGCCTCTTTGATTTTCATGTTTTAGAACTTCTTAACACAACATCGATTGACACATATTTTGCAGTTAGCTGTTAAAGTACAGTATTTCACTGTCAGGCAAAGGTACATCATTTATTTTCCATGCAAAAGGTCAGACTTCATAAAACTTTAATTATTTCAATGATGATACAGGTAAGTGATGGCAGTGTCTTTAGGAAATGTACTTTTACATTGCTGCAGAAATTTAATTAAAACATCAATTTCACCTCTCT